TTCCTATCGGGAAGCGTGACGCCAATGCTCAAGGTGGAAATGGTGGACCAAGCTTTCCTATCGGGAAGCGTGACGCCAATGCTCAAGGTGGAAATGGTGGACCAAGCTTTCCTATCGGGAAGCGTGACGCCGATGCTCAAAATGGCGGCAATACTCTCAACATACCTAGCAAGAAGCGTGATGCTGATGCTCAAAATGGCGGCAATACTCTCAACATACCTAGCAAGAAGCGTGACGCCAATGCTCAAACTGGAGGCAATAGTGGTATCTTTCCTAGCAAGAAGCGTGACGCTAATGCTCAAACTGGAGGCAATAGTGGTATCTTTCCTAGCAGGAAGCGTGATACCAATGCTCAAACTGGAGGCAATGCTGGAAGCTTTCCTTTCGGGAAGCGTGACGCCAATGCTCAAAATGGAACCAATGGTGGAAACGCCAGGAAAGCGTGATGCTAATGCTCAATGTTGATTATTGAGTGACAGAAGAAGTCCACCATTTGTTGGAATTATGCTCCTAGCGGAGATGTGAACACAAAAAACATCAATAAGCGATATTTTACTATCTAAAATTTTATATACAAATTACATACATACACGATCAGGATGAAAGATGAGAATCCATACATGTTCTCACGTTTATAGACATCTAAAGAAGTTAACCAAACATCATATTTTATATATACAATATGTTTCATAAACCACTGCATTGTATAAATTGATGGCATTTACGGCATTTTAAATAAACTACATTTTGTTATATTTTACATTTGCAATTTTTTTATTCATTATCAAAATATATAATGCATTGCATATACTAAACTCTATTTGTTTAGTGAATCTAAACGTTTAATAATTATTTATTAAAGTGATATTTATACACTATTATAATTAAGGATGTTAGGTGGTTTGACCGGAACTACTGTAGTTCGAACTGATCTAAGCAAATTTATATTTAAGGTGGTTCATTTAATTTGAGTTATATTCTTTACTTTAATAATGATTACAATCGGTAAGCATAATAATGTTAAATAAATTTATACCAAATGTGTTTTCACTGTTTTTTTTTTAGAGATGGACAGATAGTAGGCATGTTTCTTATTATATAACTAGGAAAAGGAAACCGTTGAAATGTTCGAAGGATTAATCCATGGTCTATAATATCGATAATAGTTATTTATAACCTTGATTTAATTATGCTATTTTTAAACGTTAATAAGTAACTTTTTATATTTTTCATATAGCATACGGTAAAAATATTTTCATACGCCTTGGGCATATATAACATCGATCTAATAACGTACCATTGATGATCTCAGATTTTTAGTATGAAACGTGTATAAACACATGGTGAATTACGCATGCGAAAGACAGGATGCGCGTAAAAGGATGTCTAGCCTTTAATGCTCTTTATGAACGCTTGCGGACAGACAGAGTACGCGTAAAAGGATGTCTAACCGTTAATGTCCTTCGGACAATAAATAAATGTATGTTATGTATTAAGATTTGGTAAAAATATCTTAAAATTTTCAAAAAATCAATCATGTATTAAATTGTGTTTAGAAAAGAAAAATCTTACTACTGTAAAACAATAATTGCAATAATGATTGGAGTTACTGTTAGGACGCGACTTTAGTCACGTGATCGATTGCCGAGACAAGAAAAGGGATTGTAAAAAAAAATTATATAATATAATTGCTATTATTTTATAGTAGCACGGCCACCCTTAATGATATAAATAATTAAAGTATAAAAAGAAAGAATGTAATGTTAATAAAGGACAATAAATAAATAAATAAATTCTCAGTCAAATAAATATATCTTATACTTTTTATAACACTTATCTCGATCAATAATTACAGTATATGAATTCTGTTGATTTTTAATGACACTGTTATACTGTACATTATATTCTTTAATTTAATAATAATTATAGTAATAAATATATTTTCGTTGTTTAATAAATTTATAGTAATAAACAAAAAAAAAAATTTTTTTTTCAATTTATTTGCAAATATATATATATACAATATATTTGTATTGAAGTTTTAATAATAATTATAGCTGTTGATTCAAATGGGTAATTATTTTTGAAGGTGGACAGGGATTTTTCGGACACTATAATTGTGCACCTTAAAATTACATTGTATATGTATTGTTTAAAAGTAGAGGCCGAAAAAACACATCTATCATTTTCATCGCCTTCAAAAATAATTACCCAAATATAATTGTGCAGATGTCACATAATACACAATATATTACTTTTGCTTCTTTTGGCGAAGGTCAATATGTATTGATAATATTATATGCTTTTATTTTTGTATCTTATGTGACGGTCGATCGGCGAGTCTGTCACTAAAGTGAGGCGTAACCATCGATAGGGTGAGGTAATTAATGGAATTTTAAGGCGTGTTCGATTTGGCTGAGTAAAAGATAATTCACTGTCCTTTATTTACTTTTACTTCTATCTTTTTATACATTTTAGTTGAGACGGTTTTTACATTCTGAAAAATAAGGTGACATCGATTATCTAATGTCTTCTCGTTGTTCTCCCTAATTACATAATGCTCGATCACAATGATTTTATATTACTTAACCGTTTTCGTGATCCTCCCTTCATTACCTAATTCTTTAACACACTATTTTACTACTACTTTACCCATTTCCCATCACTTTCGCTTACACTTTCCCATCATACCACCTTAAGTATTATGATAGGAATGGGTCCTTCGCGGCACTATCGCGACGATTAGTCACGTGACCGGCGTCGCGTCACGATTTTTACCTTCTGACACTTAGTATAATATTAAATCTTTTCAAGAAATTTAAATTTTGTAAAATTGATAACAATATAAATAACAAGTTACATATATTATCAAATACTTATGAAATTTTATAATATTAATATAAAAAATACTATAATATAAATAAAGTAAAACATAATATAAGGCACAATACAGAGCATGAGATATAAATATAGCTTTAAATAAATCAATATATTGGATTATATATTAGTATAATAAAAAAAGTCCAAAAAACATATCAAAAAATCATGTAATATAATAGATAATTTGGAAATATATTAATAAATATTACAGATAATTATATAATAAAAATAAATAATAATGTATAATTATAATTGTATATAATTTCACAACCTCCCCGAACTACCACAAATAATCCAAAATTCACTCCACATCAACAAACAAACAATTCAAAAGTCTATAAACTCCTCACCAAATACGATCGAAAAACTAGCAATGATTAGACACAAAATTGGGAAACTCAAGACAATAACTATATACACTGATGGATCCCTAAGCAAAAACAAAAAAATAGGTTTTGGATGGCACATCTCACAAATGCCAGAAATCAACTTCCAAGGAAGAATCGAAAAATTTCCATCATCAACCAGAACAGAACTAGCTGCAATAGCCTCCTTTCTTATAACAGCTCTAGCAGGAAGCAAGGTAATAATATATAGTGACAGCCAGGCAGCACTCAATGCCATAGAAAAAATACAAAAGGACCACTCAAAAATAAGAACACTCAACAATAGTAATCTAATTAACTTCATCATACACACAATCGACTCACAACACATCCAATACATGGGAAAAAAAATCAAAGCTCACAATCAAGACTCAAACAATGACAAAGCAGATCAGCTGGCCAAAGAAGCAACAGATCTGAATGCCGATTCCATCATAAATTTTACATCCCAAAGACACAACAAACAAAGATGGTCCCAAGAATGGAACGGACAGATCTTGAAAAACACAATCACACAAACATACAAGAACATAGCAAGAACCAAATACATCCTTAGTTGGAGAATGCTCAACTGTAACCTAACAACAATCACAAACCGACACACACTAGAAGACATCAACTGGGCAGAATCTATGATACACAGACACCTATCAAAAATCACAACAGGAACAACAAACCGAGAAGATCACAACACCAGATCCTTCAGACTAAAACTATGGAACCTGGAACTTCCAACAAAAAACAAACTATACCAAAGATCCAGCACAACATATACCAACGACAGATGTATAATATGTAATCAAGACATAGAATCAAACACACATTGCATGACTTGCACACAAAATGAAAACAACATCATCAACATACTTAACCAAATCATAAATGAAGAAGTTAGCAGCCGAACAAAAACAGATCTAAAACACAAGCTTTCCAAAGAAATTAAAGAACACCAAGAATTATGGATCCAAGAAATACAGAACTGCGTTGCAAGGGGGTGCTCACATCCAAACTAACACACATAATTAAAAAATACACAGACAAAAATAAACAAGAAGAAACGATAGGACAAATAACACATAGATTTTTAACAGAGCTATACCTCAAATGAAAGAACAGATGCGAACACTTTGCCAAATAGGAGAATGAAAACAACATCACAAAAGAAGACAAGAAGAAATGGAACACTAACAAGAAAAAGATCAAACAAAACAAAATCTTTATACCAGGACTCAACAAAATAATTAAACAAGCCAGCTACGATTGGATCAACTGGAACACAATATATTCTTTCGACACTATTTTTATTTGGGACAGGTAGAGCCTTGGCAAATTAGCTAAGTATATGCCAGTATTTAGCAATAAGCCGCACGGTAGGAAAGTTCCTTAGTGAGCTTTATTTAGGAAAAATGAGTGGGAAATTTGTATAAAATAGATTTGTACATACTCAATCAAACAAAACTTAATAAAGCAAGGTGTACGCCACCCAGTTAAAAAAAAAAAAAATTGTATATAATTTTATCAATCTTATAATTAAAATAAATATATAGTTATTAATCAAGCAAAAGCAAAAATAATTATTTAAATAATAATACCAAGTTTACTATTAATATTGATAATAAATATAGTTAAAAATCGATAATTCAATATTTATAAATTATTTATTAACAAAATTCTAATTCAAAATATACAATATAACAAAATTAATAAAACAACAATCAAAAATAATTATATATAATTGTTATATGGGTCTTTTCTATTGAATAATTATAAATTGAAATATATTTGTTTTTTTTTTTTTAATCCCGCAATTAGGTTGATGTCGTTTATTTATTAAATTATAAAGAACCATCACATGCATGAGAATACATGCAAAGTACAAATTTTCCTGACCCAACTCACCCGTCTTTAGCCGAAGCCTCTAGATGCGATTTATAGGGGTGATGTATTGTTCCCCTAAAGGATGGGATTAAGATCCTAAATTTTCGATAGGATCAGCACCTGCAGATTACCTCCACAGTCACGACCATAAATCCAAATTGTGTCACTCCCCTCTTGTAAAAACTACACAAGGGGAAAAAGGAATAAAAAAAAAATTTTTTTTTTTGACAAAGAGAAAAGAAAAAAAAAGCTATCATCTATTCTAACTATTATTGAAAAGGTTATCTCAGTGAACCTAAAAA